TTAGCAGCCGAGAGCTTTAAGCACTTGCACCACCAGGCAAGTCAGTAACGCTGAAGATTTACCATGCTGCACAGCCATCACCATCAACCATTTCCAAATGTTTCCATCAGTCTTGACAGAAACTCAGTGCCCCTTAAACATAGCTCTCCGTGTCTCCTCCCTCTGCCCCTTGTAACCACGAATAAACTTTGGTCTCTGGGCATTTGCTTGTCTGGATAGTCCACCTAAGTGGGGCCATATAACATTTGTCCTTTGCATCTGATTTACCCTGGTGCGGGTTTTTAACTCTTTCAGGGCATGGATTTTTCTTCTATGCCTCCTCTGATTTGGCTGATAAATGGCACTTGGCTACAGCACCACAAACCTGCTCCTGGAATAATCAGAAAGCCAAGCACAAGCCCAGCGTAGGATGCTGTGTTCATCTGGCCTTAATTGTTTCCACAACAAACAAAGCTGGTGACCAAGCAGTACCCAGAGCCCCCGGCAGTTTCTCAGAGAAGCCCGTTTCCTGGAGGCCCAGGCCACCAGGAGCCCGAACTCTCAGCGTCTGCTCCTGTCTCCTTCCCGGCGCTGATGTGGGCAGTGCGTTAGGGCTGACGGTTGCTGGAGGCCACCTCACTCAGTCACCGCGTGTGGAGCCTGCACACAACTCAACTCCTGAAGCTTTTCCTGACATGTTTTGTTGGTTGTTGCCTGGCAATCACCCGAGCTAGGGAATGGAAGGCTGGTTCTTCAATCACAGGTACCATGGACGGCACACATGCTGACACACAGGGACCAATACGGATCTGTACGACCAGGATGACGTGGTCAAAGCAGCACAGCGTCTGTCAACCGGAGCCCAGGGGTAGGAGGGGCTCCAGGCGCCACTTGAACTGTGCTTCTCAAACAGGGCTTCACATCTCACCTGCAGGGCTCCTTAATGGAGCTTCCAGGGCTCCACCCAAGGCCTTGTGACTCAGCAGGGCTGTCACGGGACCAGAGGGTGTGTGTTCCTTACTAGTTCTAGGGCCTCACTCCAGGGGCCCTGCTCTAGACCTGATGTACTGGCTCATCACCAGGGAAAGTCTGAAAACTAGGGAGGCTGAGCTCCAGCCAGTCTTGTACTTTTCAGACGCTCCCATTCGATTGTAAAGCGCAGCCAGGGCTGAGAAGGGCGGGTGGCCAGCCTTCTCTTCCTCTTGCTGGGAGTTGCTGGGATGCTGCAAAGGCCAGGGGGTGGGTGGGGGGGAACAGGGGGACGGACACACACACACACACACACACACACACACACGCTCGGGGGCCCACATGGGGGAGCTGACGGCAGAGCCGGGCCCTTCCGTCCACGGCAGCTTCCTCCCTGTGAATGCAGTCTGAGGTTTTGCTAAGGTGTCTAGGTATGGGCACAGACAGCAGCACACAGCGCTGCCCCATCCGGAGAAGGAGAAGTGCATGGTGGGGCTGAGGACAGGTGTCGCCAGGGGTGGCTTACCCAGTAAGCAAGGTATGCACAGCCTTCCTTATGCTTACTTGTTAATCTGTAGTAAGCAGTTTCAAAGATGTGATGAAAAATACGTGAAACTCTTCACTACAGATTAGGAAGTAAACACAAGTAAGCCTGTGCTTCCCGTGCTTACTGGGTACTCCACTGCCATCGGGGACTGTAAATTTGAAGAGCCTTTGATTCTGTAGGAAGGTGCTGGTTGGGAGAGGGACAGATACCAGCCGGACCTACAAGCAAAATCTTTGATGTGGTGAAAAAAATGTTCACTACAGATTAACAAGTAAGTACAAGTAAGTCCATGCTTACCTTGTATATGGGTAATGTGACACTGGGTGCCACCTGAGCATTAGGCAGGAGACCACAGAATTGTCACTTACCTAACCCACTGCCATTCCGACTCACAGCTAGCCTGTAGGGCAGAGTAGAACGGCCCCCTATAGGGATTCCTCTGGTAGCATAGTGGCTAAGGCACTTGACTGCTAACCAGAAGGCTGGCGGTTCAAACCCACCAGCCACTCCTCGGAAGGAAGGTTGGGCAATCCTACTTCCGTAGTGATACTGCCTCAGAAACCCAAGGAGGGGTCACTATGAGTTGGGGCCGACTCGACGGCAAACAACAACAACATAGGGATTCCAAGGCTGTAAATGTTTACGGAAGCAGACTGCCTCATCTTTCTCCCAGTGGGTTCGAACCTTTCGTTTAGCAGCTGAATGCCTTAGCCACTGTACAACAGAGCTCTGGAATCATCATTTCCAAACCAAACTCACTGCCACATAGTTGATTTCGACTCATAGTGACTCCCACTGGGTTTCCAAGGCTGCAAATCTTTACGGAAGCAGATTGCCTCATCTTTCTTCTGCAGAGTGGCTGGGGGGTTCGAACCATGGACCTTTTGTTTAGCAGCACTGAATGCCTTAATCACTACAGCACCAGAGTTCCTCGCACCAGAGCTTAGGAGATAGTAAACACTGTTTCAATTTGCCCCCATTTTACAGATACGGAAACAGAGCTTAGAAAGAGGGAGAGATTTGCCCATGTTCCCGCAGCAGGTGAGAGGTCTAACAGGCACTAGAACTCCTTTGCCTGCTGGGGCCCACTGCCTCTGGCCCACTTGCTGTCTACCACAGGAGTTGGGGCTCAGGACTCAGGTAACAGACAGCAAGATGCAAGTTTGGGATGAAGTACCAGAACAAGAGCTTGCACGTTCCAGAGGGGGCTGGGCCTGCAGAGGTGTCATGCTTTGAGACCCCACCCCAGGTGAGAGGAAGGGTACACCCACATGTGCGGGGGGAGGAGAAGAGTGTGTGGGTGGGAGGGTCCTGGGGGAAGAGGAGCTCTGGAAAGAGGCCTTGTGATGCTCTGAGACCCCACCCCAGGTGAGAGGATGGAGGGATGGTTGCTTCCTCCTTGACCTCAAATCAAGAGAGAGGCTTTAAGGAGGTCATTCAGATGACTTTGTAGGAGTCCCCTGCAGCCTGGGGGGCCCAGGGGACTGATGTCCACCTCCCTTCTGAGAGGCCTAAAGGGAGTGATGGGCTGGCCAGCCGCTCCAAGGGTGGAACCAAAGGAGGGCACTATTATGGTGGGACCCCCCTGCCATCCTGGAGTTTGAAGGAGCAAAGGATGCTTATGGCTTCTTATGGACCTGATGTGATTGTGGGTGATGGGGAGGTGGTGTGGCCCTGTCCACGGCAAGGTGGGGGGAGGTGGCCATCATGCTGGGTGAATCAGCAGTGTCTCAGGGGCTGAGAAGGAGCCCCAAGTAGTCAGTTGGGGGTGTATTTCACTCATGCCAAGGGCACTGCAGGAGAAAGAGCCTCAGTGATGGGGGCATTTGGAGGAAACACAAAAGCACCTCCTTTGACTGTAGAAACCCAAAACCCATTGCTGTCGAGTTGGATCTGACTCATAGTGACCCCTCCTTGGGTTTCCGAGGCAGTATCACTACGGAAGTACACTGCCCAACCTTCCATCTGAGCAGTGGCTGGTGGGTTTGAACCTCCAGCCTTCTGGTTAGCAGTCACGTGCCTTAGGCACTACGCCACCAGAGCTCCCATTTGAGTGTAGAGAGTGCACTTAAGCCCCTGGTGGGCGCAGCAAGTCAAGTAACACCATTGCTACCATCCAAGCTCCAACTCGGGAAGGGCTGCAACCCCGGGTGAGTGGAATGGAGGACGAAGGATCCAACTCAGGCTGGCAAAGGCGAGAAGCTGCCCACCTGCCATCCGTCACCCGAGGCAGGGGGCCAGCCTAGCAGGCCTGAGCGGCCAAGGAAGAAGTTCTGCCCCTGAATGCGGCTTGAGGTTTTGACTGTTAGGATGAAGTCCACATATGAGCTGCTCACCAGGGGCCTTCAAATTAAGCGACTTGATCTAAATTTTATCCAAGAGCCAGGGAAGAGATAGTGGTGCCGGCAGAATGACAAAGGCCAGTGGTGGACGGAGTTTCTCATGACTGCATCTCACGAGTCCATGGGGACACCCAGCCACCAGGTGAGATGCCTTCTGCCCACCTGAAGGCAGAGCTCCTGTTCTCACAGGGCCCTCTTTGAAGATGGGATCCGTACATCGGGTCCCTGACCTGGTGCGGTCCCCTCTCAAAGGGCTCCCCACTGCCAATCAGTTAAAAGCTCAGATTTCCTAACGTGACTCCTGCCTTCCCCTCCAGCCTCACTTGCATCCTGCCCCCATTGAGCCCCATGCCTTGGCTCTTCTGAAGCTCTCTCAATCCCTTGAACACAGCCCCCCAACTCCAGGCTGCCTTGTACACTGTCCTCTTGACCAGGTCTGCAGCTGCTCCGTCCTCTTTGCCTGGGTGACCCACTCTCATTCTCCAGGTCTCAAGCAAAGGTGGCTCTTGTGACATGAAGCTTTCCCTGAATGCCTTGCGTCACCCCCACCCCAAAGCACGCTGCCCTAGTATCCTCGTGTCCCCAGCCAGCTTTACCTCCATGGGTTGTCAGTGCTCTGCTAGCCTGATCTCCCCAGCAGGCTTGACTGTGTTTAGCTTAGATCTCCAGTAAGTAGCCCAGTGCCTGGCACATAGTACGGGGTTGATAAATATTTCAACCATCTGTCTGTCAGTTTGGCATACAGTGGTGGCTTGCGTGTTGCTGTAAGGCTGGAAGCCATGCCACCCGTATTTCAGACACCAGCAGGGTCGCCCATGGTGGACAGGTTTCAGCAGAGCTTCCAGACAGAGACAGAAGGAGAAGACAGACCTGCTAACCCACTTCTGAAAATGAGCCAATGAGAACACTGTCCGCCAGGTGCTGGAAGATGGGCCCCTCAGGTTGTTGGGACGGACTCCAAATACAGACCCAGCAGCCACACCAAAGGGCTGAGCAGATCGACAGTCATGAAGATGACACAGACCGACAACGGTTCGTTGTGTCACACGGGTCGCCAATGGCTGGAGACAACTCACCGGCAACTAACAGCCAACAGTAATAGCCATTTCTAATAACCGCTCCACGAACACTGGGGACACCCGAGTCAGCAGCAGGATGATTACCTTCTTCTTCATCTTCACATTTTTGAAGATGGCGTGGACCCTCCATGTCTTTGCAAACATCGCCCCAAAGGCAGTAGTGTAGCCCACAGTGAGGATCCAGGTTCTGACCTAGAGGCCACAAGAAAATGGAGGCATTAACATCCAGGTGGACGAACCTTGCATTATGTGAGAACATCCTGGCAGGGGGCCCTAGATGACAGGACAAACACCCTATCTGACGTCTCAAACCCACTAGCCGCTCCGTGGAGGGAAGACCTGGCAATATGGTCCTGTGAAGGTGGCAGCCCAGGAAACCCTGTGGGGCAGTTCCGCTCTGTCCTCTAGGGGCGCCATCAGAATCCACTCCACAGCACCTAACAAAGGAGCCTTTCAAGCAAATTTCAAATCCAAGGACATTTAGTGCTCTCAGCCATTTGCCAGACCCAGGGTCCTAAACACAAAAGGATATGATGTGCAAAGCCAGTCAGAGAGAGGCACAGAGACCCCGGGCCCATTGAGGAATCTCTAAAGGATCATGTCCAGCCCGCCGTGTCGCCCTCCCTCTCTCGCACGCCTTCTGTGTGGGGCAGACAGAGCAAAAGCTGAAGTAATCACACTGTCCCCTCACTTGAGCCTGCAGGAGACCACGTGGCCTCTCCTCTACGTGACACCCAGCTCCAGGGCTGTGGGCAGGGGATGTGGAGGGCACAGAGCCACAGGGCAGAGACCAGGTAGGTGGATGAGCCTGCCACGGCCCTCCTCAGTGCGCTCAGCCCAGAGCTGACTCTGGAGGTAGCCCACGGGCAGCTGCACCCAGGCAGATGCAGGCCCGAATGTGGGGCAGCTTGGTCAGGGGGCTGGCCAGAGGAGAAGGGCTACGACCGGCCTGTGGAAAAGACAGGAGCGGATGTTGCCTGGCTCCCGCTGCCCAGGCCTCCTCCCTTCACCATCCAGGTCCTTGGCTCCTGCTGCATAGCATCCATGCAGTGTGACCTCAGTGTCCAGTTACCCAATAGCAGGCCATCCTGGCTGCTGAGCCCACTCACATGGCCCGGTTCCCTGCTTGGGACCGATGCTCTCCCTAGCTGTCACCTGGTTCCCCAGGACAAAGGTGTGTCCTGATGCCTAACTGTGGGCTGGTTGGTGGCTGATGTGAGCTGCCAGCTCTGGCTGGTGCCTGCAACCTGCACACCTGGGTCCCTGCGGGCTGGGACAGACCAACATCATCCATTAGGTCTGGGGCCCACTGCCCCATGCACTGCCATCACTGCCACGCCCAGCTCTCTGACCCCAGCCTCTCTTGCTGGACTGGACATTCTCTGAGGTCCCAGAGACTGCTGTATCTCTAGGTTGCACCCCACATTGTGGCCCAGCCCTGGGCCTGGGCCCCCGAGTTCTGGGGAAAAAGGTGGCATCCTTTGTGAGTTCCAGGCTTCTGGTCTCTCCTCTCTTCTCCCCTCAGCTAAGCTCCCAAAAGTCCCAGGCTGCCTCAGTGGAACGCAACAGAGGTGGATGTGGCGGGAGGAAAGAGCCACGCAGGCTGAAGCAGACAGATCGGCTGCCGTGTCCAGAGGCCGGCCCGCTTAGCCCAGCAGGCCACTCCGGCCCAGGGCAGCTGTCAGCAAGACAGGAAGCTCTTGGAAAGGCTCCCAGGCAGGTCCCTTTGCAGACTCCGCCTGCCTGTCTTTCCAGCAACCTGGCTTTCCAGAGACAGGACACTTCTCCCTTCCATTTTTGTTTTTAAAACAGGAACTGACTGGGGAGGTGGCAAGGCCAACCCCGACATCCAGGAAAGAGCACTAGCCTCACAGCACGGTGCAGCGTTGTTGACGAGGACAGAGCTGGGGAGTGCGAAGGCTGACCACGGCCCAGGTGGAGACTTACCCTTCTATCTATTTATTCCCAAAACAAGGAGGAATCAGATGGGCAAGAATGAGTCACGGAGCCTTGGAGAGGGTGTAGGAAACTTACGTTACTACCCACATTATAATATGAGGATGCAAGAAAGTAAACAGAAGGGGGGGGGGCGGCGGAAGGGACTGTCAACCAAGTACTGCAATGTAGACCTGAGCTTATTCAACGACCAGATCATACGTTCCTTGTCTGTCAGGCTGCACCAGGACCTTAGAGATCATGCCATTCGTTCATTCTTACAATCATTCATTTGTTCCTCTGTTCATTCAACCAGGATTAAGCCAGAGGCTAAGCATATACATAAAAACAAACAGAACAATGACAACACCAGGGAACAAAAGCCAGGGTAACTTTTCAGTGCTGTTAGGTGAACGGATGAAGAAACTGAGGCCCAGCGCATTTACGCCATTTCCCTCAACTCCCCCCCAAGGCAGTTCTGGAGCTGAGCCTGGACTCAACGCTTGTGGGTCCAGCCCTCTCCCCACCACCTCAGGCCGCCTCCTCCTTGCAGAGGCTCATCCACTCCCAGGAGGCCCTGCTGGAGGGGAAGGGCACACCCAGGGGGCGTGGCTGATGGGCCTGAGACCATTAGCCCTGGTGACCTCACTCAACAGGCTTTTAAAGCTAATAGTGGACATGACTCTTAAGACTGATGGTCTCCCAAGCATTTTTTTTTATCACATTCTCCTGCCAGAAAAACAAATTTAAACATGAATATACAAAGAATATGGAAATCTAAAAAAACGGTGGAAAAAGGTGAAATAATAGCACTATTTTCGCCTCACCACGTGACTACCAGAGGTCTCGTATTTTGAGGAGATGTGTCCCTCCGATGTGCCTTTAATGTCTGCTTTGACTTAGGTTTTCTTGGAAATGATTGCTTTTAAGCCACTTGTCTATTTTGTGATTCATTAAGACGCCATAATATAAATGAGTTAAAACTCGATAATATACATCTAGCCTGGCACCTGGGAAATGCAGTATGTCACCATCAGCTGAAAGAAGAGTGGCTGAGGAAGCCCTGTAGGGCAGTCGCACCGTACCAGCCGGAGACTGCAATCCTTCGGCTGCCCGTGGCTGGCGTCTGGGATCCTGGATGTCCAGAAAGTTCCCACCATTCCCTGATGAGAGTGCTCACGGTACCCAAACTGTGCAAATCTAACCCAGTCTCCCCAGCCCAAGCACTTCACCACTCCACAGAGCAGGTCAAACCCTAAATTCTTAGCAGGGTGTGGTCCTTACCTCCACCCCAGATTTCTCCTGATACTCATCACCTGGCACTTTGTGCCTGGGCAATACCACACTAAGGATCCCTGGTGGCACGATGGTTAAGCCCTTGGCTGCTAACCAAGAAGTTGGCAGTTCAAACTCACCAAGCAGTTCTGGGGATGAAAAACCCGATGATCCACTCCTGCAGAGATTACAGATTAGAAAACCTCCTGGGGGCAGCTCCACTCCGTCACATTGGGTCATTATGAGTCCAAATTGACTCGACAGCACCTAACACCGCCACCATGATGCTGAAACTTTCCAGGCACTGTGCTGGCTCACGCTGCAGGGCCTGGAACGAGCTATTTTCTCTGCTCAGAATGCCATTCCTTGCTGTCTCCCTGACAAATTCTTATTTGTTCTCCCAAATCCAAACTCCAGAACCACCTCCCCTGAGAAGCCTTCCCAGAACTTGTCAGGAGAGGCCCTAGTTCCCTCTTCCTGGTGACTTCTGCTCTCACTCATGTCCCTGCTGTCGGGCACATGGAAGACGTCTATCTGATTAGCTGTCCGCCTTTCCTGTGAGATGGGGTTACTTAAAGGCAGGCCCATCTTGTCCACCTTTAAATCTTTGGAGCCCAGCACGGAGTGGATGATCAGATTGGATGGGTCTGCTTAGGAGGTAATGAGTTTCTTGTCACCAGAACTATGCAAGTCAAGCCTGTGCAAGTACGTGAGAGGAACACCACTGAGGGAACGAGAACATCTTGGGGCTAAAAAGGCTGAATTCACGGCCTCAGTGGTCCCTTCTACCCAAATGAAATAGACTGTTTGGGAGGTAGTGAGCCCCCTGTCACTCCATGTATGCAAGCAGAGCCTGGAGGACTCCCTGTCAGGATGCTGTTGGGGCATTTCCTGCAGCGAGATTTCATCTGATGCCCCCCTTCCCCAGATGCCTCACTTCTGTGTAGCTCTATGACCTTGAAGGTTCTGAGGGGCTTGCACGATTCTGTTTTCCGATTTGTTGCCTCTAATACATATCTGTACTGATTCAACGGCATGAGACAAGCCATTCCTTTACTCCCCCCCCCCCCAAAGTCTTAAACATCCTCTTCTGACGTTAATGTCTTTTCTTCTCTCCCCTCGGCCATAAAGCCCTCAGCCTCCTCTGCAAACCGTCTTGAACATATATGTCCATGGGGGGAGAAGAACATTAGGCTAGCAAGGCCCGTCTCCATCTTAGTTATAAAAAGGAGGAAAAAAAATTAGAGCAAACCTCCAAACGGAAAGAAAAATCTATGCCCTGAACCATTGCGCTCAAGCGCTCATTCCATTGATTTGATGGAGGCGAGCCTGGCAGGGCGAGGGGTCTTCACTGCTCTTTTGGGGATCAGTGGGAGATGGACACAGAGCTTCTGCTGCAGATCTGTTCTGACAGATGACGAGGGCTGCCGTGCTGAGGGGGCGCTGCATGTCACCGCAGACGCACGTGGTCCCAGCTGCGCAGCCAGACGGTGGCGGAGCCCCGGCAGACGGCCTGACGTGGTAGAGCACTCTGCTTTCCCACTGTCCAAAAGCCCTTCTGTTTCATTCTGACCGCTGAGCCCAGGCAATCAATAGTGAGAAGGCAGGAAGGAAAACCCACAAGGACCAAAAGCAAACCCCAGGCCCGCATTCTGTATGAAGTATGTGTGGAGGCGGGCTGGAGGCTGTAGCCAGAGCCGAGAGGCCAGACTTCAGTCTAGGGTCTCCAGGGCCTGTCTTCCTGCACCAGGGGGTGGCCAGAGACTCAGGGTGCGCCCTGAAGTAATAACCCTCCGAAGGGCACCCCCTAGAAGCAGCTCTGGAAGATGCCGTTTTGTTCAGTGTCCTTTAAACAAGGGTCCACATGGACTATTTCCTACGGAATTTAGAATAAAGCAAAGCCTTACAGTTCAGGGTGATGGAGACCCAGCCACAAACAGGGACCCAAGTCAGGGCCAAGGGGGCATCTCGGGAGCCATGGT